GGAGAAGAACGGTCCTCCTACGGTTAGCCTGACGGCAACGGGACTTTAACCCATAATCCGTCTACTACTCAGGATATTTTACGTTAGCACTGTGGTCGGTGCAAGCCAGATGCGGAATCCGTATCGACCGGCCATCGCTGGGATTTGAACCCGGTTCACCTCATTGGAAGGCTAATGATCTATCCCCTGAGCCATCAATAGCTAATATATTGCTATCCATGTAATTCTCCATATATTATCGTTGGAAAAAACGAAAATAGAATCTGAAAACAGATTACCTCGGTATAAAAACTTCATTCATATTTTTATTAAGCTATATTGATTTTGGAAATCTCAAAATTTGCGTATTTTAAAACGTGTTGCTAAAGAATAATTTTCTACTTAATAAAATGTCTTAAAATTAACTTTTAAAATTTACTCAATACGAAATCTAACATTTAAAAAATATACCAATTAGTTAAGCGTTTTAAAGTTTGGTTTAAAAATTTGCACTGTGTATATATATATGTATATATTATAGATCCATTACTAGTAGAATAAATTACTATTCAAAAAAGTATCGCCAATTGTGCTTTCAAAATTCACGCAACATAAAAATCTATTGCTGTCGAATAATTTGTTATCAAATAATTCGTTCTTATAAGGCTATTGGTTTAATTTTTTCTAATAAGAACTAAAAGATTAAGGAAAACGACATTGTATTTGACTACTTTTTGAAATCGTTTTCAGATTTGCGACTTTTTTTTGTTGCATAAAATATACGTAATTCAGGTTATGATTACCAGAAATTCAAGAGACAGAAAGAATATATTTTTATTTTTTCCGTCGAAAAAGTACTTTTACCCAGATATCTAATAGTTAGGTTAAAAGTAATAAAACTTAAGTTATGGTGGTAACCATAGCAACGCATCACAAATAATAGTCTTCCACTTTTTTTTTATTACCGATCAAAGATTGTTTATTACCGATCAAGATTTCCACCTTTACTAAATATGAATTTAAGTGTTAATTTCAATGCCAGTATCTTTTTTTCTTCTTTGTTCCTATCTCTGTAAGTTACTACTATCGAAGGATATATAAAGGTTTTTCACTCTAATTCTAGAGCTTGTAAAAAAGTGACGCGTATTTCTTTTCAAAGCGTGAAAATTGTTTAACTTTCTGACTCAAATGACTTCAGCGTACCGATACGGCAAAAAGCTTTACTACATGTCTTAGAAGATGGGTTTAGCGTTTACTTTCATTATTTTTTATGCAATTTATGAAAATCGATTTAATCTTAATTATTTATTTTGGGTAATAAAGTCAAATTACTTTTTGCCGTAACACCTAAAGTAAATTACAATTCGATTTGAATATTTTGAATTCTCTCTATATTTCTTGTTCTTAACCTTATTTGCATGTTGAATAAACTACATACTAATTTGATCGACATACATAATTAATTAATTTAAACTAGTTGAATAAATATGGATAAGCCTTATTATAATTTATAGCAGTATTCACCATAACAGCAAAACAAGTTTGATTCAATAATTTCTATTGAAATGAGGTTAAATCAAATCACATCTCGGAATTATAACTCAAAGAAAAAAAAAAAAATTATTCAGCTCGTTTGATGAAAAATGACCCATGAGAGAAACTGAAGAACGAGTTTTTCATGTCGCGAAAAGTGCCAAGTAAGCAAAATTTAAAAATTATCATTTACTTCACAAAATCGTTTATTAAGCGAGAAACAATATTTGAAAAAATATATTACACACGTGAGCTCTTTTAGTAAAAATGACCAATGAAAGAAACTGAAGAACGAGTTTTTTATGTCGTGAAAAGTGCCAAGTAAGCAAAATTTAAAAAGTATAATTTATTTCACAAAATCGTTTATTAAGCAAGGAACAATATTAGAAAAATACATTACACAGGTGAAAATCTTCTAATTAACTAATCTCTCCTATCTAACAAAAGAAAATCATCAACAACAAATCGCCAAGAAACCATACAAATCTTATCTTAAATATAACACTAATCCGTACAATAAACAATCAGAAAACAAGCATAATGCGTAAAAGAAATACTGTAAATCAATAGTTTAAATTGATTTTTAATTTATTTTGAAATGTCCGGAATAAGCCTTATAGCAAAATAAACACCGCCTTTTATCAAAACATATAAAAAACACTTAAATCATCTTTATAAGGGTGAGTCACTTTCTTCTCTTTCTCTGTTTCCTAGGTTTACCGAATTTATTGTTTCTGAGTCACCGAAAATTTTTTTTTAGACTTCGAGAGGGAAAAATTAGTTTTATCGATTTCAGATTAGTTAAAAGTTAAATACTAATAGGTTAAAAAAAAATTTTTGATCTTATGAGATCTTAAGAGAAATATTTACCATTTTATTAAAAAAAATATTACTCTAATGAATATTTGGACAATGCTGAAATTATATCTAGATTAATTTGTTACATCAACATCTTTTATTTTTCTTTCTTTAATTGAGTTATAGAATTAAGTATAGAAAACCATAGCGATGTCTAAGCTGACGTCACTTACGTATCCACTGAAAATCCATCAATGATCAATCAGTTAAAAAATGCAACAATAGGAAAACTTTTCTGTCGGAATAGGAATACCAATCGTTTAATAAGAACGGTGCGAACGGAAATTGATAGACTGATAGTGGAACACTGATCTAGTTCAGCCTCTCACATCTATTCAAACAATTGAAAAAGCTATTTTAATAAAAATTATTGTTACAAAATTATCTTTTGATTCAAAAATTCTAAAACAAAATTTATTTTTTAAGTTTCAAAATGAATTTAAAAGATTTTGCAAATGAATTTTATGTAACATTAATAGTAATTGTTTCGTAATTCCTAGATATACACTTAAGTACATTCTTATTAGATATTTACGTAAGGGCGAGGATCTATGCTTCTGACAACGATACTTCCTCTATATTATATTTATCTTCCAACTTCCTCTTATCTTACGGTTTGAAAAATTTCCCCATTTAAAAAAAAATTTTTTGTAAGTTCTTTCAGTTGTTATGTTATAATAGATAGTGTAGTTTCAAATAAAATAGTTTTTAAACCGAATTGTACTTTTAAATAACGAAAAAAATTGATGTGAAATTAACACACACGCAGTTAGGGTGGCAATACTTTGCTCGAATTTCGTGAAAATTTAGTATCAGTCTGAGTTATAAAAATCCAGAGTTGGAGTTAGAGTTCAACATTACGACTACCGACTTCACAACCTTGTCTCGAACTTCGGTCTTCCGAATATGTGGTCTTGCAAGAACTATAATTATGATAGACTTGAATTTAATTTAGTAAAAACCATAATAATTTATTTTCTCTTATTTTCCTTGAAATTATCCAAATTACTATCCACAATTAGTTGAAGATGAATTTTAAAGTTAAGTAAATAATTTAACTACCCTAATTTTTCTAAAAAACGAACGTTTTTACTTGTTCCAAATTACTCCAATCTATCATTGTAACTTCTACTTATTAATTTGATTTATCGGGATAAAACATGTAGCGAAGCAAAAAAATCTGAAATAGCGTGATTTTTACAGTATTAATTACCGTAAAATCACTGAATCACTCTAATTAAATAAATATTACTTTAAAAATTACGGTATTATATTTTACGGAAAAAATGGATTTTACGGATGATACACCCAAAGCACCGGTACTTTATACAGTAATTTTACATGGAATTTTTTACAGTATGTCCAGAAATGGTTGCTCAGTAAGAAATTACACTAACTTTTGTTCTTATTTTCATATGCCGAAAACTAATCTAATATTTCAAAGAGGTTGACTTCAAATAGACTAACTAATTAGTGGTAACTATTAATTAAGTTACAACATATATTTTATCCGACGTATTCTGATTTTTGACCACTGAAATATCAGTGGTAGCTGCAATCTGAAAAATATGGTCTCAATAGTTTAGCTATAAGAGCGAACGAAAGTTTTGACCACTTAATGTTAATTTAACTTTTTGTGTGTTATGTTATATCTCTTTAACTCTTTATGCGAATTGAACTGTTTTTTTCACACTATTATAAAGTATACTATATTATAAATTTTATAACACCCAACCTATACATTGATTTTTATCCTTTGAAATTGCTTGGTTCAAAACGATGTAAAACTTTTTATATCTTAAAATTTAAAAAATATTCGACTATTAATAAAAAAAATTCTTTAAATGGAATTATCTTTGGATAAACGAATTTTATAAGTGTTAGCTAAAATGTTTTGATTCTTTTAAATAGTTCTAGAGATATACAACGCGCGATAAGTGAAATTAATATTAAGTGATCAAAACTTTCAAACGTTGTCCTAACTTTACTATTGGGACCATATTTTCTTTACTGGTTGGTTTCCCATATATTTTGATTGTAAAAAATACGTTGGAAAAAATATGTTTATTCAGAGAAAGTAACCTGAAATACCGTCTGTCCTTATTAATTAGCATATTTAAAGCTATACTCTATTACCTGTTCTCTTTTTTTCACACTTTAAATCCCTTATTTATTAAAAAAGTAATAAATAAAGTAAAACTAATTATTTGTATTAATTTGTACTTCTTTGTTAGAACTGTTCCCAAAAATAGTAAAAAATATCAAATGGTTAATAAATGAGAAAACAATCGTGTATTAAATTTCGTATTTCGCTTTTATTCTTCCCTTTGCAAATTCTATTTTGTTTACATTAATCTATTCAAATGATATTAGATTATTTAAACGTTAAATAAGCTCGGGGATGTATTCAAATAAAAAATAAATTTTTGTAATCCCTCAAATATAAGCTTATAGTACTGATAATTTATTTTTACATGTAATGTAAATATCGAAAGTTGAATACTTTAGAAATACGAATTATTAAAATCTCGTAAAATCTCAATTTTCCATCAATAATTCTTTATTTTTACAAGACACTACGTTATATAATGTATTATTGCTTCTAATGTCAATTTTACGTGCTTTTTTAGATTAGATGATACCATGACGTCATCGACGAGTAAGGATGTCAAAATGGCGATTAATGGGCCTATCTTCTTTCTCATTCAAGAACAAGCTAAGTCCGTTGTTGCCATACAGGTGAGTGAAACTTCTGCCTCTGTTACTTATTTATCAGCTTCTTATTTCAAAACAATGAATCTTTATTGTTTGATCTGTTTGGTTTCTATACGTGTTTAGAAATTTTGGCGCGGGTTGAGTAAAAATAAAAATTCAAAATGACGTTCCCAATTCCAATAACGTTCTAAATTGCTGCAATTTTAATACGCTGCTCAGTTGAACCATATCATTGTAGTACATTATTAAACTTGATTTTACGGATATAATGCTTCAAGAAACCATGTCTCAATTATTGAAGCTGCGGCAAAGTTGAACGGTATTGTGGTTTGAGTTACCGATATTGTGGTTCAATATTGAACCGATTTTTTTAAAGAATTGATTGAACTGATTCACGTTATTAACTAAAATAAAGTTATTAATTATTTCGAAGGCATTCTATGTACTCTTAGAAATTTTGGAGTGTATTGAATCATAATAACGTTCAAAATCGCTGCAACTTTATGCAGTCAAGTTGAACTATTTTATTGTAATACTTTTTAACCGTGATTACTAGGGTATTATAATTCACCTTGCATGAAAGCATGGTTCAATTTAATACCTTATTGAGATTTCAGTAAGGAGTTTATGGTGAAAAACATCGATATTGTGGTTTAGTATTAAAATGATTTTTCTAAGAACTGATTGAACTGATTTAAATTATTATTTAAGCTAATTAATTGTTCATTAATTAGAAATTAATTATTTATTAATTTTTAATTAATTATTCCGTTTAGAGCATAGATTATTTAAAGGTGTAATTTGCTTTAGCGAAGTAGTAAGTATACCAAAATGTAGATATTTTTAAATTTCAAATCATTAGTAAAATTTTAAAAGCAGAACTCTAATTTTTTCACAACATAGAGGAATAGTTGTGTTCCATATTTTTTCTGAAATATTTTATTTACGCTAAGTCTCTAAAAGTAGAGATGATAGAGAAGAACTGTTTACACATATGGAATCAGCCTTTTAGATTCACTAAGTTATCTAGAATCTAATAAAGATATTACGCATATGAAACAAGCATAGATATTTCAATACATTTGTAACCACCACTAAAGATTATTTTTAAAGGAAATATATCTGGTTACTATGACCGATCTCTAAGCCACAAAGTAGTATCTTAAAAGAGGAAATTCTTATAAGCATTAACGCAAATTTACTACCACTATTACAAATTTCTCAGATCTAAAAAATTTTAATATAGATAAAATCTATTTAAAAACTATAGGTACCAATTTGCACATTGCCCTGTGTTGTGCTTCATGTTACTTAAAGAATAGCAATGCTCTTTAGTGTATTTTTCGTAACACTATTTTGTAAAACACTTGTCGCCTGCAGCAACTAGCTGGTTCGCCTATACGAACTCACCGCTTCGTGGTTCCACATAGTTTACCGCTTACACGCACTCATCTCTTCGCTGCTCCACATTGATCCTGTTACATTTTACAGCATTGTTCTGATTCTATGGCATTGATATTTTAGAAACGAATTAAAGGGATAGCTTGAAAATCAAACGCGAACTCAACACCTTGCGGTTCTTTCTTTATGTTCACTTGTACAAACTCATCGCCTCTAGATTCCGCATAGTTACCGCTTTCACTCCGTTGCATTCGACAACATTTTCTGATTCTATGACATTGGTATTTTAGAAACAATTTAATGGGATCGGTTGAAAATCATGCACGGACTCGTGGTCTTGGGGTTCCTTCTTTATATTCGCCTACACGAACTCACAGCTTCGAGGTTTTTCATTGATCCTGCTGCCTTCGGCAGCATTTACATTTGTATTTCAGTTGATACATTTATGTAAACAGAAAGTTGTAAGAATTTTTTTAAAGGTTAATTAAATTTCTACATGAGCGTCTTTTGCTTTAAAATGAGCATCAAACAAACACGGTTATCAAGGGGAGGTACAAGCTGAAACATATTCTCCACGACTCTCTAAAGTACAATTTCAGCTTAAAAAACCAAAATATTTTTCTTTTCACTCTGAATAAATGGTGCCATAATTAACATCTGCTGCGGAAAAAGAAATCTAACTTGATATCATATTCGGTCACCGCAGGTGGCCAGCCGACACGCGTAACGGGTTTACAACTTTGAGATTGCTCCTATGTAAAATCACTAGCCCCCAACTACAAAGCTCCAAAGAATTCAGGCCCATGGAACAGGGAAACCACCAGCTGCCACCCCGAAGCCATGCGTGCACCATAGTGCCCAACAACTCTACGGATCCACTAAAGCTTGTCTGTCTAGGCTTTCTATAAGGTGCCTAAAATAGGCAAACTCTCTTACTTGAAACAGAGAGTATACTCAAAATTCGCAATTTATGTGGAATTATTGTTTTGTCGTCGTTTGGAATTATCTCACCGATATGTAAAAAGCGTCTTTTACAAAGAGAAGAATAATACCGCATATTTCTCGGTAATAATTTTGGGAGTAGAAAAATACAGCCTATTACTTCTTCCCTAAAGATTTTTAATTAAATTTTTATTGCAATTTTTGAGTGTTGTGGTCAAGAAATCATATAATTATTTTATTTCCTACTGATTAGTGCGATTCAAACTAAAAATAATCTTTAATTTAAAAGTTTTTGTTAATAATTTAGTTAAAAAATTTTCCCGTTTTGAAATTTATTATATTTTTATAACCCTAAGCCTTTATAAACTTGTCGTTTTCAAAAATAATGGTTGATAACTAAAATAATGGTTGGCATAAAAAAGACAGTCCAGCTCAAAATATTGCACGCAAATATTGCAGCTCAAAATATTGCATGCACTACAGTAACCACTTTTTTCAAAATTATAGAAAGCGACATAAAAAGTGTTCTTTTTGCTCGAGTAAAAAATATATTTCTGTAAAAAAGTTACAATTACGATTTTCGGAAAAGTATATACTTTCCGCTGCATTGTTCCCTCTATTATGCTACAGAATTCCTTCGTGAATCAATTAAACGTAATTAACATATTTTTAGTGCCTACAGTAAACCCACAATTCGGTATGCAGACATACACAGCACATATAGATTTAATAAAAGATTTGATGGTTTATCAGAAATGGACTGAATAAAATATGAATCATTCAACTTTTCCGTAGATGGCTTTTAAAATTTCGACAAAATAGGTGCTAACCAATAAAAGTGACCTAATTCAATATTCAGTTTTGGATTATTGGAAATAAATCAGAATACCGTCGCCTCATTTTTCTCAATGACTACTATATCTGCATCCGGTGGGAAAGGTATTTTTAGGCCAAATATATCGTCAAAATCTGCTTGCTGAAATTTTGAATGAAGTTTTATAACGATAATGTCAAATATTTATCAGACTCGCCTACTGTATCCGCTCAGAATGCAAAGCTGTGAACTCAGTAAATAAAACATCCTAGTTGGAGAAAAACCTTTGTTGTCTCGATTATTGAAATGTTCCTATTGTTTATACAGACTGTTTGTTTTATAGAATTTGGATGGAATCAAGGTTACTGACGTTTATTAAAATTATACTTCCCATTTTTTTTAGTAAAATATAACTTAAGTTGCTATAAAAGATCTACTTTTCGCTGTAAGTATATGTTTTAAAGGACAAATAGCTATTGAAGAGCATAGTAATAATGATTAATGATTAAAATTATGAAAACAAATATCAGATTTCGGATAGTTCGTTTAAGAAATTTTAATGTTTGGACCTATTTAAGTTGAAATGCAAAAATAATTTTAAAATAAATATTTTTTAACTATATCTTAAAGCTGCATTATAATCTAATTTTAAGAACTATAACAATTGTGAAATTGAGAGTGACTTACAGTTGTCCAAAAAGTACATAACGTGTTTTTTTCTACTTGGAATTATTTTATAATATTATTTATTATTAATTAAAATTAAATTATTAATTTTAATTAATTAATTAATTAATAATTTATTAGTTATCATTTTTAATTATTTATTTTTAATTTTATTGTTTATTATTAGTTAAGATAACGATGTGTTATATCTGGCGTAAGTTAATTGGAAATTCCGCCTCCTCGCAACATGCCATGCTAATTTAAAATCTACAGTAGTTTTTAATCATCCTGAAACTTTCTTAGACTTATAACAATCAGCCCACCTTCTTTTTTGCTGATTAGTAATGTGTATATTTTTCATTGCTTCAAGAGCCTGATTTACGAAAACTGTTGATAACTATTTTTGTCAGACTACGACTGCTATTTTTGATAAAGTTGGGCATACTTACACATATATACTATAGCGAAACACAGGATATATTAAAAAAGCCTTACACAAAAATGTTGTTAATTAAATTTGAAATTTTCAAAAAAATACTAAAGAAAAATGAAATAAATGCTTAGTTGATACTTCTGTTTAGTATTTCAGATTATTCTAACTATTGAATCAAATCAGATCATCTCAGATTCAAAACTAGAAGAGAAGCGGCATTTTAAAATTTAAATAAGAAATTTAATTTCTTTAAAAAATATATAATTAAATATTTTTTCTTTCTTTTTTAAAATTTTAAATGCTTTTTCAACCCTTATGAATAATATTTTAGTGAATAAAATTGTACTAGAACCCATAGTCAATATTTTTAAGGAAAGTTTCTGCAACTGCGCTATTCTTAGCACATTTCAAAAATTGGGTAGTCCTATCGCTCTTAACCCTTAAATGCATGACTTTATTTTTAAGGAATAATGCTTTAAATATTGGAAATCAACCGAGATTCAGGTACGTTTAATGGGCTAAACACAAAAGAATTAAAAAAAGAACACTTTGATGTGTTTCTACATTATTATGAACAATCGCTCCTATAGTTCGACAAATCCACTTCGTGCAATAACATCTTATTTCAAACACAAAATTTTTATACAAATAATCGTAATTCGTAACACCCCTCGAAATGAAACTGTACTCAGATAGCGTGCCAACAATGAGAATTGTCACAGATAAAGATATAAACTGGCAAATATTCTAGTTACGTTCGGAAACGGT